CCATAATGTTATTGTAATCTATCTGAACCATGCTAGTATATTATTACTAGTTTGTTTGCAGTCAATCGATTCGTGGTTTTTTTAAAATTTTTATAATACTCGTTTCTGTAGCCTGCAGAGACGAGCGGTGTACACACAAACTTGCAGATGACTGTTGATCGATACAATGATTATGCAGATAAAGCACATCGTGTCCGTCCTCGGGTGTGTGTGTGTGTGTGTGTGTGTGTGTGTGTATGTGTGTGTGTGTGTTATTGTGATAATAACAATATGATCTTACCGTATGTAATACATGTGGACTCGAGTGGGCTACGGGTTTTCCGGATAGTGTACCTACCCGTACAGCACATACGCGTCTCCGCGCGCGGATTTCTAACCTTTTATATACGTCAGTCATTTCCCTCGCGCCCGTCGACATTGTTCGGCGGTGCAGTTGTAACAGCACTTTGAACACGTGGCAGACACTATAAATTATATTGCGGAGTCCCCCGTTTGAAGACCATCGCCGCATAACTTATTTCCGTCGAAATGTATTACAATATATAATCGCGATCAATTTGCACTACAGAACATCGGGAATGGGGGATGATAGCCGGTGTAATAATGTTATAATGTTATTATAATAATCTCGTTAACTGCAGTCGAGTGGATTCGGTGGAAGTCTGCAGCGCGAAACGGCCCGACCGAATAATATTATACAGGCAGAACGTACATTGACCGTTTATAATATCATTAATCATTTTATAATAATCGGGTCTGCGAATTTAATGCACCAAAAACACTACCTATATATAGAGTTGCAATTTCACTTAAAACAAAAAAAAAAAAAAGGACCGATACTGCCGATGGGCTTGATACCGTTTCAAGGGGCGAGTGGGAAGGGAGGATATAAGGAGGAGTGATTTAAAACGATTTTGAGCGCCGAGTAATATGTGTCGAATTCATTCCCTCGTTGGCCGAGGTAACGCAGAAATCAACAATAATTGTTTTGGAAATTGCCAGTTTTCCCGTTTATTGAGAGGACTACAAGAGACTCGGGAGGTACTTTAGGGAGGTAATTTTTGGATTTTTCAGGGTTTTTCCCGATAATTTGGAAAAACTGAGAGAACGGATAAATAGCCGGTACAATATTAAACAAATATTATCAAAAAAAAAAAAAATGTTTAACGCATACGCAATTATTTTACCACGATACGACGTATATATTATTGACACTACAAGCCGAACTCCGATCAGAATCGTTTTTTCGTTAGCAATGGTTAGTCGTTGCTTACAGATGTACATTGAATTCCCGTCTTAACGCACTACCTTACCAACTTCTCACCAACAACAGTGGCTGCACCTGTCTCCCATTATCTAACGACAGTATTTTTTTCTCTTCTCTAAATAAACGGATCGAGTGTTCCGATTTATTCCGCGGTAGACACGGCTAGACGAGAAATTATAATTATTACCGGGTGTAAAAAAAAAAAAAGAAAATAGATAATAACACTACGCGCGTCACGCTTATCTATTGCCGTGATAATATTTTAATACCGTCGCCGCCGTCTAAAACAATAACAGTTATTGTAATATTTTTATCCGGCCGGTCGTCGTGTTTCGAAACGTTTTTTAATCCCCCGGATCCCAGTGCGCCGCGGATGACGCGCGTCGCATCGACGAAATCGGAATAATATTATAATATTGTGTCGTGGTTTTTTTTTTTTTTTTTTTTCCTGCCGGGGGTTCGTTGCACTGCAGTACGCCGTGTCTTTGTCGCCGGTGACATCACTTAACAGAATGTACGCGCGTGTCAATTTTCGTTTCTCCGGCCGCGAGCGCAAGTGCGTGGCGAAAAACAAACGACAGCGACAAAATGAATAATAACTCGTCCGGGCGTAATCAATAGTTTTTTTTTTTTTTTTTTTTCTATTACGATTCCGATTTATTTACCGGCTTACCGCGGGATACTACGCGCACTTCGTTTCTACGGCCGGCGCATATTATACGATTATAATGTACATTCGTTATAATATTTGTTATTCCGGTAAATAATTAACCGCGGAACAGGTTGGTTTCCGGTCCGAGCAAAATTACTCGTTCTCACACGCGAAACGTTATTTTTTACCCAAACCGAACACACACCTGTATCACGCTTGTACAAATAAACGGCCGAACGCAAATAAAACGAGACGGTAACGAGAAATCGTTCGCGATATCATTATGGAAAAAACTCGCGACGTCAATCGCGGCCGGGCGGGTATACCGATTTTATCGACTAGTTTCAATAGAGTTATTCTTAATAATAATAAAAAAAAAATTACAACCAAACCAAGTTTGTTGATTTTAAAACAAATGAATTCTAGTGATTGTGCACATTTTGAAGGTACACATTTTCGAGAAAATCATATCTTAATCGCTTTAAAATTCACTATAACACGATACGATATTCACGTAAAAAAGACATACTTCGCACGACGGGCGGGTCACTGTCGTATTCGAGAAGTTGGGAAGGTAAGTTATAAAGGGGAATTTAATTTATATCTGTACGCAACGATAAATCGTTGCTAACGAAAAACGATTCGGAGCAAAGTTTCTATTATACGTGTACGTAATTTTCCCGTTTCCCCTAGGCACCTATGCAGTTCTTTTCTACGACAAATTCGTAAATAACTTACATTTTAACAAAATAAAGAAACAGTTTTCTTACGTTCGATTTTGTTTTGGTTTTTTTTTTTTTTTAACTAGTTAACAGCAGTACAAAGTTATCAAAAAGAGTATCTTACAACTTATTTATGCGTTTTTCCTTATTTTTTTTTATCGGTCCGTCGAAAATATACAGCTATAATATAGTTTATTACGACAAAATTAATGTGCCTCGCGACCTAACGATTTTTTATACGGGTATCCGACATTTTCGTTTTGAATATTTCGGCGTTGGATTTTTAGAGCATATTTTCGCATTTCGTAGATTACCAAGAGCTTTCCCGTTCAATGAATCGAGAATCGCAATAAAACGTAATCGTTCGACAGTTTTAAATTTCAGCGGGCGAGCTGATACGTACATGATATTGGTGAACATCCGCGTTTCAGACGAAACGGTATGGGGTCGTTGTAGTAAAACCGACTTTCAGAATTTACAATTTCTCTTTATTTTTTTTTTTTCCAGAGCATAGTTCGACATGTTTAGCGCGCGTCCGCGTAATATTATACGAATGGTTTTTAGCGCGCGCAAATATCCGTCGTATTTTCGGCGATGATAATGATTGGTAATGCTATTATTACTAATATTAATAAACGGCGAGCGTTTAGGACGGCGGCGGATAGGCGTACTCGGCGTTATATTATACCGCGCGGAGGATATAGTATATGATTACCGGTTGACGTTAATGAAAATATTATTAATTAATAATTACGCTATTATGTTATCGTCCCGCGGTATGCGGTATTACGTATAATAACGTGCGACCCGACAAGATTCTCGGGATATTATGCCTCCTATATTATGATGTGCGTGTATACTATTATACGAGCCGGATAATAATTATTGTGCATACGTGACCGGACGGTTTTACATAAAATAAAAATAACAACACCGAGGGTATATAATACGTTTCCGTCGTAAATCGCGTGAAAAAAAATATAAATAAAAAAAAAAAACAAAAAACAAATTTTATATACGATATTAATATCATACGAGTATATTATGCGCAGTAGCCGCATTGAAAAATATTCGAAAAGAGACATTATAATCGATCGGGAACGTGTCGAGATTTCGTAACAGGATAGAACACTCGAAATCGTATCGTGTGTAGGTGTACATACCCAATAACATTACAATATAAATTATCTATAATGATAACGTTATTAATACGTCTCCGGTTAGAACGCAGTGGTTAAAGTGGGAGGGGTGGGGCAGAGGGAGACGGTTCTTGTTTAAGGTGAAATCGTCAGTCCCTTCCAGTTGAAACTTTCAAATTCCGGGGATACGCTCCAGTGAGTTATTGTCGCTGAGACATTTTTAACGAGAAACATCAGTAATCGTTTATAACGAGTGTCCAGTGTCCGCGCCTAGCGAAATCGGCACCCGGTGCCAGAAAAATGTAACGATGAACACAAAAAAAAATAAATGCCTAACCGCTGGCTGCTGCAAGGCGTTTAGGCGTTTATTATAAACATATTCAATTATAAAACTTAAACGTTTTCAAACGGTCCCCCTGTAATCATTGCGCTCGGCGCGTGGGCAACTCTCGTATCCCCACAGGCACGGCCGTGAATCGTTGATATTCGAGGGACTATCGTTAAAATAACGTTTCAATAACCGTAAATTGCCGTTATAACCAAAATGATAAAATAAAATTTGAAAAGCCGTCCTGGACTAACGGGGACGGGTGCAGCCACTGTTATGGGTAATTCAATGTATATCTGTATTCTGTAAACAACGATAAACCATTACTTACGAAAAAAAAAAAAAAAAATAAAAAAAAAAAAAAAAAAACGGAGTGCGATCGATGAGTGTTGCTTTCGTCAACAATATATGTGTCATATTATGGTGAAATAATTACATATGCATTATATATTTTCTTTAATAAAATTCGTTTAATGTTGTATCTGTTTGTCCGTTATTCCTACGTTTTTTTCACCGGTTTTTCCCATTTATTAGGAAAATCAAAAAAAAAATCAAAAAAAAAAAATGGATTTTCTAAAGTACCTCCCCAGTGCGATTCCTATTCAGAAATAGTGCTGTCATTGTAAATTGGAGCAAAATTGCTGGTAGAAAAGTTGTCCGCAGAAAAAAAAAATAAATAAACATCATCGTAAAACCAATATAAAACCAATCCAATCTTAAATTGACTGTGCATATGTGTATTGTATACGTATTTAAATGGACATAATATTGCGTACGACAATGTCAATGTGTTGTATTTTTATCACCGAATCGTGAATTCAATACGCGTAGTTAAAAAAATGTTGTTTTATTATTTTAAAATTAAATTTACATTGTTTAAAAAAAAAAAATAAATAAATAAATAAAATATTGCCTTCGATAAAAGTTTAATACGGTCGTAATCGACAAACAGACGTGTCCAGTGTAACCAAAAATAACCCTCCGCCACGTCTGTATCGTAGCCATTATTACAGACGTTTATAATAATCGATGAAATTTAGTCACATTTACTACGTAGCAGTTTTACCGGGACCATCAATCCGAGGTGTAATTACGCCTGGTTCGTCGCTAAAATCACGGTGTCGTTATAAACGCGTATCTACTGCATTCTAAAAATTTCAATTGGTTCTATCAATAGCGAAATTCTAAAAGATCTATAATTCAGATTATATTATGATAATAATATAGTCCAGTTTCATTTTATTTTGTCGGACGGGCGCACGCGTATAGGTTAACATTTGACAGTCGGGGGAGTGTCAGTTTATTGGCGAACCCTATGCTGGTGCAACGTCGTCACGCGGCAAACGCGCGCGAGGGTATTTCGGGGGCATTGTCTCTGCGATAGGTTTCCGCGAAAATTCGGTTAGAACCGGTGAGTTTTCGCGAACGAGGTAAAGACACCACGGTTGCGATGTGTACTCTGTGATATTTTACTGTGCGCACATCTTAATACAGGTACTGAGATGCATTTAATTGTTTATAACGTATTGATTGTTATAAACGAGCGAATAAATGTTGGGTACAAACACGTCTTTTTGCAATGCGAGTGTTAATTATTGAAATCCCACAATGGGACTTTTAGTTTTAACACGAACCGTTAATTGTTCGGTTAAATTTAAACCGACACGTTGTTATGTTTACGTTCTGAAACGTACTCAGAATCGGTTTTGCCGTCGTAAACAGTGTTCACTCATTATCCTATCTTTCGGAACACGCGATTTTCATCGTCAACATGAAGTCTACTCATGAACTCGTGCGATTTTATTATAAACGTGTAAAGATCAAATACCGTCTTATACTTGATGTACCTACTTAATACAAAGTGTATTAAACGTTTTAAAATGATGGAAAAAAAAAAAAAAAAAAAAAAAAGGAGAAACTTTATCGAGTTATTTTGAAAATGATTTTTTTTTTTTTTTTTTATTAAATCCGATAAGTACCTCGAATTTTGAAACGCAAAACTATGCACACAAATTCATCAATGCGTTTCCTACCGAGTTTTAAATAATATAATAATATTTGTTGAACTGTTAAATTAAATAATTCGGGTTTAAATTTCAACGAACCGGAATGAAATCGATTATCGCGCTGTCCCCGGTGCCGAAATTCTAACACGGTTGCGTGACTCAAAAATAAAATAAAATAAAAATTCTATTGGTAAATAATAATAATAAAGACCAAAACCGTTGAAAATAAACGGGGGAAAAAAAATCGAAACGCATTTTGCGCTTACACGGGTTAGGTCAATGAAGTAATCATCGTGGTCGAAAAACGATTCTGAGAGGAACCCGATGAAAGTGGTGAGGTTATTGTTTACGGTTGTGTTTTTATCCCCACATTGTAATTGACCGTGTATAACCGCGCATAAATCAACAAATTCAAAACCAATTTTCGTCGACGGGGTTAACAGTACGTGACGGTGTATAACCTACTAGCGCTACCTAGCCGCTCCAGAATCTAAAACGCGACAGTTCGGTTCACTGGGCAAGTACCAGTAAGAGGTGATTACAATTAAACTCCGTACGCGCGGCTGCGCTCGCTATAAATAAATAATTATACAATTAATAAATTATAACGAACGAAAAAAAAAAAAATAGAAAACGCGTAGAAGAGAGAGTGTGTGTGTGTGAGGGAGAGAGAGTGAGAGAGAGTAAAGAAGAAAAACAGCCGTCCGGCGAGGTCAAGTGCCGCGCGCGGACGGTTTTTTCGTGACATTTCACCGGCCGGGCGGCGCACAAGTATCGCGTAAATGCGCGCGCCGTACGGGTGGGTACCCGGCGGCTGCAATCCCGGTCGCGGGGCAGTCCGATTTGCGCGACGAGACGTTAAACCCCGTCTGTACAATACGATTTTTTTTTTTTTTAAAATTTTTTTATTCTACATACTGTCGACGCACGCGCGCACGTGCATGTACACGTATAGTAATAACACATCGCGCGCATTCGAAACCGTCGTCGCCGAACCGGTTACGACTCGCGTCTCTCCTAAATTGGTAAGAACCGCACGACCGCATGCGTCCCGATGATTCATCGGGTATCAACCGCCGCCGCCGCCGCCCCTCGTCCCGCGTACGTTTGCGCACGCGTGTTCGGCGTTCGCGTATCGCCGCGGCCGCACAACAATCACATGATGGCATTTGTACGCGCCCCGTAATAATAGAAAACACACGAAAACCGGCCGGCGGCGTAGTTGGTCTTGCGGGAGAAGCAGCGCCGAGCGTCCCGGGTCCCGGGCACCGGGCGCTCACAAAATTCGAGTACGTCCACGGCCGACGTAAACGCGCGCGTCGCGTTTGCAATTTACGCGCCAGAAAGGCGGTCGGAAAAAGAAAAAAAGCCGCCAAGTACGCGCGGACGAGTCGCGTAACGGGAACTCTATGGTCCCTTTGAATTTAGGCGCCCGGTTTGTTGACATTTCGGGAATCGCACTCCGTCGGCAGTTTCGTGGCCAATTTTAACGAGGTATCGATTTTACGGTACGCACGCTATTACGGCCAATACTCGGCATTATATTATCCGATATTTTCTATATAGATACACGCAGTATACATTTTTTCCTCTCGAAAATCGAAATTACAACATCGTACTACGCATAAATGCTTTTCGTTCAATTGGACAAGAGCAATGCAATTTTGTGATATCATCTCTGGAAATAACACGGTATACATGCTCGTGTATAAGTATATTAAACGTATTGCCGTCCGCTGATAGTCGGTTTTGAAAGCTTTTAACGTGATTAATAATATTTTATACCGTTTGATGACGCGAAAAGTGAAAAAATCAAAAAAAAAAATCGAATCGGGGTCTGCACACGATAATAGTAAATAATGTTTTACCTAGGCAATATACATTTCTGACCGAAAAGGGCGATTTTTTTCTTTTATCACGTCCCAGTGTTTTTCCAGGACGATGTTAAATTAATTTGATTTCTGCTTTTTTTTTTTTTTTTTATCAATCATCACGGAATTGTTTACTCTTCATTTTAAGGATGCCGATATTTTGTTTCTTTACTTAACACAGACTCTGGAGAGCAGAACACGCATTAAGGACTGAAATTCGAAAAATAGTCTGTCCGATCTCACGTACAATATCGTATTTCACGCGAAAAATCAAATCCGTTTTCAGAATTCTTATCGTTCCACTTTCATTGATCGTGCTGATTGCAGGAAAACTGTTGTAAACTTTTATTCTTAGTATGTACTTTTTTTTTTGACAAAGAAATAAAATACCGCTGCGTATCTCAAATTCCCTTAACACTATTTTAAAATGTGCACCCCTACTCGGCCTACTCTGTTTACTTTAATTTACTTAGATTACTTTGATGTTCAAATGTAAATCCTCTTTCTCTCTTATTTTACAACGCAGATTCGAACAAACAATATTTTTCTAAACACTTCGATGCGCGTAAAACTTTACGAGTTTTAACAGTTTAAAACTTATACCGGACAAGTAAGGTAATAAATTGATCATAGGGGATCACGGTAAAAAAAAAAAAAATCACTCTGTAGACATACAAATTTAATTCAATAATGATTGACGTTATAGGCAACTGGGAACTGTAAAATATTAGGTGATACATTATGTTATTTGACAGCGGTTTAAAATGTCTATAAAGACCGGTTATTTGTATAATAACAATATATTATTCTAATACATTTTGGATACAAATTGCGTCGCGCGAAATTTCCGAAAACCCACCGCATAACGTAAAACACATAAACGCGCAGACTATAATACACGTTTGGCATTTTAATTTAGCGTATAAATTTAGAAAGCTGTCTTAGGAAAATGGGGACGGGTCCAGTCACTGTTGTAGGTGGGAAGTTGGGGAGGTATTTTAACGCATATCTGTAAGCAACGATAAACCGTTGCTGACGAAAAAACGATTCTGAGCGGAGTTCAGTTGATAGTGTTGCTTTGTCAAAAACAAAAAATATATATATATATATATGTCATATTATGGTAAATGATTATAACAATGTGCGTTTCCGTGACGGCAATGATTATTTAGAGATTAAATTAATGAAAAGTTAATAATAACAAAAAATAAATAAAAGCGGTTGCCAATGATAACCTTCTTTTTAATCTTTCAATCTTTTTTTAACCCGAAGACCGAGGTTTTTCTCATTATCTCGAATATTAATGAGAATTTCAAAAAATGATCACTCTAAAGTACCGCTCAGAGAAAATATCCATTCAGAAAAGGTGCCGTATACTTGATAATCAAATTATGCTTCCTGGTAGAAAAAGTGTTCACATAAAAAAAAAAAAATAAACGTTATTGTAAAACCAATACGTTCCTCGCTCCACTCAGATTCTAAAAACAAAAAAAACCGAACATTTTTTTCCGAACGTGCGGTATTTCTTTCCGGACGCGCGTTGTTTAGCGTTTTGCCACGTCCGGAAAAAAGACACCGTTACCCTATACCATACATATTTTATCGCGTTTCGGAAATATAAAAACTATCGAAATGACTCCGGGTCGAATGTTATTGTGCACCCGTAGGCGGATCCGCCGCGAGTGTATACATTATTATTATTATTATTACGTGTATATATATATATATACGCGATGACGTTTGCGAGCGGATCACGTAGGATACATTTTTATTACCATATTATTATACGCGTGTGTGCGGTTATTTATTTATTTATTTTTTTTTTTTTTATCCGCCGAGAAAACGAGAGTTTCACGGACTACTACTTACGTTCCGTCCGGGAAAAAATACGCCGCCGGTTCCGACGCCCACGTAAAACGTCCGAGAAAACCGGTACGCGCGAGACAGAACGACGCGACGAGTTACGAAAACTGCAACAGTTTTTTAATACTTACGACGCGTACGCGTATTTACGGCTTTAGCGCCTCGGGTTCTTCCTGTAGTAAGGACGGAACGATTTTTTTTCTTTTCGCATTTTTTTATTCCACAACACGTTCGAGCCTCGCGCTTTACACGATGTGGTACCGGTCGCTTTGGATTCTGAAACGGGTTATTTCGGGCTCGACCGAGCTTCAAAAAAAAAAAAAAATAATAATAATAATAATAAAACGCTATTTTACCACTTGTTCAACGATTACGACAACCCTTTA